TCTTTCTTTCTTTCTTTCTTTCTTTCTTTCTTTCTTTCTTTCTTTCTATCTTTTACTATTTTTACAACTAACTATTTCTCCCGCCCAACAACAACCCTGTGAGGTGGATTGGGCTGAGGGAGAAGGACTGGGTCCAAGGCCACCCAGCTGGCTTTCATGGCTAAGGCAAGACTTGAACTCATCATTTCCTACTTCCTAGCCTGGTGCCTTAACCACTGGATAAAGCTCCCAGGATATCAACAGTGTGTTCAGTATTCCACGCTGCCAGCGGGTCTGTTTTAGCTGTTTTCTTTTAATTAATTACTTTTAGGACAAGGTGGCTTTAGGTGAGTCAGAAAAAGGCTATTGACTTGGGGTGGAATAAGACAAAAATAACTGGACTGGGGTCTGATGGCAATTTGGATGGCTATATTCAGGGGTGGGATTCAATTTTTTTAACAACCGGTTCTGTGGGTGTGGCTTAGTTGGTGGGCATGGCTTGGTGGTCATGTGACTTGGTGGTCATGGCCAACTTGATATGGTCACTCACATCAAGGGGCGCTTCTCCTCACCTTGCCTCTCATGATGGTGGGGATGCTGCGATATTCATAAGCGTGAAAAATGGTCATAAGTCACTTTTTTCAGTGCCGTTGTAACTTCGAATGGTCACCAATTTTAGACCAAAACTCAGAAAGGGTATGTAAACTCACGTTTGAATGTCAATCTTCTAGCTAGCCAAGAAACCCTTACTGAATGTCACTCATCTTGGTTCCTTGTTCATTAAAAGCTTCTTTCTGGCAGCTCTGCTTCATTATTCAATTATTTCTTCAAAGTGCTAACTCCAACAGGGGAGTATTTCCTCCCAACAGCAGTGTAAAAAGCTTAAAACAACCCCTTCCCCTTTGAGAAAGTACCAGCAAAGAAAAAAAAACCCTCCTTTGGAGATAGTAAGTCTAGGCATACTACCAAGAATGCAAGAAGGGTGGGAAAAAACAAAAGATTTCTTCCAACAACCGGTTCTCCGAACTACTTAGAAAGTTAACAACCGGTTCTAGCGAATAGGTGAGAACCTGTAGAATCCCACCCCTGGCTTATCCCAGGTGTTCTTTTTGGCTGGATTCTTTTGTTAGACTTTTGTATTTCATCACTTCCCATGCTTACAGGATGACCAAGTCAGCACCCAGTAAATGATTAGATGATTTAGCCATGTGCCAGAAAAGGCTGGATGGAAATGCTTCCATGCGATAAACTGAGAAGTTCCACCTTCTGTAGATAGAGATTGATCAGTGGGCCGCCACACGTTCTTCTGTGCCATTTAGCAGCCAACGATTTAGAGATGCTGGCTTCAGATATTTTACGGATATCTCGCTTTATGTGAATTTCCCAAACATTTATGAAAATCGCACTTTTAAATAACTGTTTCCTAAAAGGCAAGCCATCGAGTTAGACAAAAAAAAAAAAACCCAAATCCTGGTGAATATTATGCAGATGGCTGCAAATTATTTTCTGGCTCACGGCAGAGTCTTTCGTTTCACAAATGGACCCAAGGAGATGGAAGGGAAGTCTTTTGTGAGGCATGAATTTATTCGGAGACAATTCTGGTGGGTGTCCT